GCGTTAGTGTATTCATGATGAATTGCCAAACCAAATTAAACACAAATCACTGGACAGCTATCAAAATAACTGCCAGTTAAAAAAGTATTGGCAACTTAAAGTTGTATACCTCTAAAAAAACACCCTTTATATCACGACTTAATACTTAACAGGAAATTCATTTCAATGTTCATTGCTAAAGCATAGGAACAATTGGTACAGCATCAGTTAATTGCTCCAATTCGAATGCACCACACGAAATTCCCAGTTAAAACGCGTTTAAACCCTAAACTGTTCCCATGTGGGTCACCATAAAATGTTTGCCTTTCTATTGTAGACAAAAGAGCGGCAAAACATCTGCATAGAGTCTTCGTCGTAATTTCTTTTGTGTCCATTCCTCTAAGTAATTACATTTCCTAGTATTTTTTGTTGTATACGATTTTTATTGCAGGCTCTCATTAACCCCCGTTATCGGGTTTATTTTAGTTTTTTGTTTAAGAATTATTACGTTTCAATACATCAGTAATAGCAAAGAGACATATAACATTAAAATTACCTTTCATGTAAAGCTGATTTAAATATATTTTTTTTTATGAATAAATTTTTATGAATAAATTTCGAACTAAATCTGGTTTCATGATTTTGTTTTTAAAAAATATATTTAAAAATATATAAGTTAAATATTTTATATATGTACATAAAACAATATACAAATACGGGTACACCTCGTTTGTAAGTACAAATTTGATAGCAAAATCGTTCAATTATAAACACAGAATGCCCGCATTGCAACAGGATGCTAATTTTGTTAACATTTGAACGCTATTCGACACTCTGGAAGATTTTTTAAAATTCAAAATCTAAAAACGTTCCTGTTTAAATATCCATTTAATATATAAGGTAGGGTTTTTTCTGATATATTCGTATATTTATAATACGTTTTGATTTACTAAAAGGTATATTGAATATTAATCTATAAATTAAATGTGTTCTAAGAAGACTATATAAATTAAAAATAATTAAGTAAAATATCATAAATGTTTTTGTATTATTTTCAGATATTTTTCTTCAGTCACAAACGTGATTTCAAAAAGGTTCTTCTGTATTGTTAATTATTTTATTATAATATTAAACATAATTATAAATTTTGCATGTATTTTTGATAGCAATTTTTTAGCTATTGATTTCTATTTATTCATTCGAAATCATACTTTTACCCCAACTCTTACTTTTAACAAGTTTTATATTGTAAATATGTTAATTTTTATAAATAGAAATCATTACTTGAAGGGTAGGTACTATCATTTTTATAAATTATATTTAATTTTACCTATTTAATATTTACCTATTGTATAAGTAAGAAATAGACTGAAAGCATATATTATACTAGCTGCGCCCCGCGGTGTTACCCGCGGATTACCGGGATTTCCGAGATGTAAAGTATCCAATGTATTATTCCTGGACGTCAGCTTCCTGTATACAAAATTTTATCAAAATCGGTTCAGCCGTTTGAGCGTGAAGAAATAACAAATATACACACACACTCACAAACTTTCGCAATTATAATATTAGTAAGATGTACATATACGGGTATATGTACGGGTTCAGTAATAAAATTAAACCTACCTATCCTACTAAAAGACTCGGGCCTGTCCAGAACTACATACTATTAATTCATTCTTGAAACGTTTTTCGAAGGCAGCCCTAGCAGGTACTTTTCAAATTTGGTTAGGTGGAGAGAGGAACTTGGACAGTGAAGGTGAGCGTTTAACGCTCGTTAGATAGGGCCCCCTTAAACCAGGTGTACCTGGGTCGCAAGACCCAGGCACTGTTGAAGCTCCTCTTACTGCAAAGCTATGGACCAGCACCCATACGGAGAATCCATTGGATGCTGAGAGGTTTCGTCTCTATCAAATAAATAATATATCGAATCGCCAGATTTCTAGTGAAATACATTGAAACTTTAGACAAATACAAAACAATATTTTGTTTATTATTTATTTACCAACCATAAATTCCAATAATAATAGTACTTTATAGTAATTATTCAGCATAAAACTCTTAAGCTTTTGATAAAGGTCCTAAGACAAAAGTACTCTAGAGATTTATTAATGATGTATGACTACCGAAGAAATGTTTTATCACGAATAAAAAATTAAAAAATCGTCCAATTGCTGGAAAACTGTAACACTCCCGCAATACGTCATTTTTATGGGAGGCCTTGGTGCTTACACCAAATATTTATATTGTTTGTGAACAACGTGGTCGCACTTTGCATTTTTATCCACCCTCTATTAGGGTTAAGCATCCATCGTAAATATAAATGAGGGATTTTATTATTTCACTTACGATATATATGGCTTCACATTTATATTGTAAAATATCATTTGTTACATTTATGTTAATCCATAGAGGGCTAACGTTACATTACTCCTCTCATCTCAAAGGAGAATTATTTCGCCCGAACAAAAATGTCCGTTATATTATTTCCTTTGTAATTGTATGAAAGATGAAATAATATTGCTTGATAAGTTAATTAAAACTTCTGCTTTCAGTTTTCTCATACATACGCTTTGATTTACATTTTTATTCCAGATCATATGAAATTTTAATTTTAATTAACAATACTATTTTAATATTTCCTTATACTAATGTTACTACATATAATGCTGACGTAATCCGTTGAATAGTGTCCTATTAAAATATAAACAAGTGAAGTAGCGACAAAAATTTTGGTGCTAACCAAAGAATAAGAAATTCTCAGTTTATTGGATCTTATAATAATTTATGAGGTTGTCTAGCGTTGTCTCTGACGGTAAAAGGAAATATAATCAACCTGGGGCTCGTATATTTCTAAGGCTTCGTGATGTTAACTGAAAATGTTTGTATTAATACTTATAACTTATATGTTTATAGAATATCCTATGATTTAAGAAAAAGATATGCCATGTGGTATGAATTTTCATTATACTACCAAAATATTCAGGAACATCAGAAGTGCTTAATTATCATGAAATGTATATTAAATTATTTCATACGAATTTTTAAATTCCAAGAGTGTTAATAAGGTTTATTATAAACTATTTGTCTTACAAATCTAGCTGCTATTGCATAATATTATTTATTTTACGTCATTATCCTATCTTTTGTGATGGATGACGGATTAAATCTTAATGGAGTAATATGGATATTTATATGTGAGTTGGAAAAAAAGCATACACTTAAAGTGCCTGTATATATTATGTATTAACAAATAGATATGTTTTGTTTTTAACCTTAAGTATATAGTGTAGTTTAATAAGAGCATATAACTTTATATAAGTCTATTCTGTTATACCTCAAACTAAAAGTAGAATAAATTATAAATAGAATTAGTAGTTAAAGTAATGAGGATATAAAAGAAGCAAAAAAACATTAAAACACTTCACAAAATTTTGTTTATTATTTTTATAGGTAATAATATATTTAAACGTACTCACCGAAATATTATTTTGAGAATTATTAATATGTTTAATATATATTGAACATTATTAATAAATGTCTTTTTTATCATAAAAACTGAAAAATTACCGATACATAAAACCATTTGTCCAAACTAAATATAAAAGATAATCGGTTCTTCACATGTCTACGATCCTGTTAAAATTAATTATAAGTGATATGTAGAATTTCTATCGGAAGTGGTTTCTGAGAAAAGATGAACTGAGACAATGTATGGACAGAAAATAATATTAACAGCTATGCTTGACTTAAACTTATTTTCTTAATAAACATAAACAAAATAACGAGATGACGTCTTTTACAAATATATTCTGACATACTTGATATTGCATACTGATATGTTAAACGTTAGAAATACAAATAATAATCAATAATATTTACTATACTAATAACTAGAATTAACTATTTGGCTAAGCTAATCCGATTCATAGACCATTAGTCCGGCTAATGCAAGTTACGTATTATGGGCTTATATAGAATTATTCTTGTAGTACAGGAATTATCTAAATAATTACTGATTTAAATGTATTGGAAAACTAAATATTTATTATTTTATTGATATAAACTATAGTAATCTTATACATTATGATATATACAATGATGTAGTGGTTGTTTCATTTTTGACATTTGTTTATTCAGTTCTGTGTACGATTTAAAAGAACAGTACAGAATCAGTTAATTGGTCCAATTCACCGATTACGCCGCATGCAATTCCCAGTTTAAAAGCCTTTCAACCCTAAACTGCCAATACGATAAAATAAATTGTATTACAAAAGAGCTAAAAATATTGATGTAAATTAAATGTTAATTGTAAAATAATAGAATATATAAGTATACAAAACCTTTATATACTAAATGTATAGTATACATTATAGATGTATTTAATATTGTGTTCCCACCTGAAGAATAACAAACTAGTTCATAATCTTTGACGACCACACTTGCCACTCACAGATTATGTATTCTATCCCTCGGACATCAATTATTCCGCCCCAATGTACTTCACTTGTCTGAAGTTAGGTCTCGAGGGTACAATCAAACTTTTGAAACCCGAGCAAACTTCGAACGTATCGGAAAATAATTTGTTAGAGTTTCTATCGTGCATAACTAGTTTTGCTTTTAAGATAAAATTTAAACGCTTCAAAGGATCGCTACAAGTTTTTAGCTCATGTGATCATGTTAGCTGAAGTAAATATATATATTTTTTTCTTCTACCTATCTCAATTTAATTCATTAATACATTAGTGAGTACGCAGTTCTTAGAACCACATGTACACTAAAATAAGAAGAAGAATTATTCTTTAGGCTGTTTTTATGTCACAATCACCTAAAACTATACATGGAACTAGGATTAAATAATAATAAAATTCAAATCATAATGCTTAGTAGAGACGAAACGAGACGAAACCTCTTAGCATTCAATGGATTCACCGTGCGGGTGCCGGGTCCATCGCGTTGCAGGGAGAGGAGCTTCAACAGTGCCTGGGACTTGCGACCCAGGTGTAGGTTTAAGGGGCCCCTTAACTAACGCGCGTTATACGCTCACCTCCACTGTCCAAGTTCCTCTCCCTACCTAACCAAATTTGAAAAGAACCTACTAGGGCTGCCTTCGACGTACGTTCTAAGAATGAATTAATGTTAGTTCTGGACAGGCCCAAGTCTTTTAGTAGGTTATAGAGAGATTTAGCTGTTATACCTCTCGCTCCCACCTCTACCGCGTACAAATCAACGACGAACCTATTTCGAGTTAGTTCGTTAGTGAGCTCGTAATACTTATTGACCTTGATGGCATGGTCTTTGGGGATGTTGGTTTCCCAAGGCACCGTAAGCTCTATCATCACAACGCGCTTTAAAATACGCGAATATAGAAATATGTCTGGTCTGGAGGCCGACGCACAAATATCCTCGGGGATTTTGTATTGTTTCTCATACGTATCCATCATGATAGTCCAATCCGAAGCCGCTTTAAGGATAGAGTAAGGCTTGACGCTTGATTTTATAGCCCTGGTGCCCTCTCTCACAAAACCTATTGATCGCTCGTTTGTGGTTATTTCCCTTTGCGCTCTGGCTACCGAAAGACTAACCGCTTCACGTATGATCTCTAAAACCCTATCGTGACGACGCGAGTATTGACCGCTGTCCAGGAGAACCTTACATCCCACCAGCAAATGCTTGGCAGTTCCAACTGCCTTTCCGCAGATATAGCAAGTTTTTTCGGTACCTTTACCCCATCTTACTAAATTACTCTGATCTGGGAGAGTCATCTGGAACGCATTGAGATAAAATTTTAGCAAGGCTGGCGACCAGTCATGAATTAGGGTGCGCCATTTTAGTGCTAGTGGAATGCAAAAATCTCCCATGTCTAACCACTCGTTCTGCATTTCTAAACTCATTGCATGGATCTTGTATTTATCGTTCTCGTCTTGCCGAATAAAAGACTTTAATATATCCGTATCTTGGACTTTCCTACTTGATCCTAACCCTACTCTGTTATTTTGCGCTCCGATCATAAATTGTTTATGGAATTGAAGTCGTGACTCTAGCTCTGGGGCATCATTGTCTTTTGGGAGTGATGTAACGACGTCATCATGGGATTTTCCCAGGATATGTCTCTTGGAAACTCTTAGGTGTTTGTAGAGCTCCGATGGTCTTTTTAGATTCATCCCAAAACTATTACGATCCCTGAATAAAGCCGATGAATCAGCCGTTAGCGCGAGCCCGAGCCACAACTTCAACATCTTTATGACGCCTGCATCTAATTTAGATAAAAGGGTTTTACTAAAATCATAGACGAGGAAAGGCCAATTCAAACGTGAAGTTAAGTAATTATCGTAGATCCATGCTTTTTTTACGTTACTGATCTGCTGGCTATCTACCTTGTTGAGATCATTTAAAAAGCTATCTACTATTCCTTCTAAAGATGGAGTACGACCTATATTATCAATCTTACGACCGAGAAACTTGAATGGTGCATTTTCCGTAACCGTAGAAACGCATTGACCGCCTATCGATAGTCCCGGATCGTATGAGGTGTATCTTGTATTCCGCCTACCAAGACACAGACAGTGACATTTACTTGGTTTTGTCCTCAATCCATCCGTCCACTCACAGAATTTATCCACTTCATCCAATAGTACTTGACAGTGTTTGGGGGGAGACGTGTCAGTATTGCGAGATCGTCAGCGAAGGCTAAAATGGATTCCGTGTATTTGTTATTGAACTTAAACCGATACCCCCATTTTTTCTCATTGCTGATAAGTTTATCTACTAGGATATTGATTATAATATTAAATACTATTGGAGATAAACAGCACCCTTGAAATAGTCCTACATTGTAACTCAAACTTTTTGAAGGGCCTTCTTTAGTTATAATAGAAAACTTTAATTTTGAGTAATACGACGCAATCATATCGCTAACTAAGGGTGGAAAGTTATACCATCTAAGCGCGAATAGCATCAACTCGTGTTGTATCGACCCGAACGCGTTCTCTAAGTCTATCCAACAAACTGTAATTTGCCGCTCGCTTTTTCTAGCATCTTTCAAACTCTCCGACAGCAAGGTATTGTGTTCTAGGCATCCAGAAATCCCGGGTAGAAACCCTTTCTGGTGATTTGGCCTAAAATACTTGTTGCTGAGCATGAATCGCGTCATTCTCGTTTGTAGGACCGAGAAAAAGATTTTAGATATTGTATTTGTTAAGGCTATCGGTCTAGTATCCTTCGGATCGGTAACTGGATCTTTTTTGGGAATGAGGACAAAAATTGCTTTCCCGAAACACTCCGGGATTTGCTTCCTTGACCAGATTTTGCCGTATATATTTAGGAGGTGTTTACGAACCGATGGACATTTTTTAAAGACTATATATGGGATACCATCGGGGCCCGGTGTAGATTTAGATGATTTCCTCTTTATGTGACTACTTATTTCGTCTAACGTTGGTGGTATGCCGTGAAAATCGATATGAGGAATTTCCGGTTTTTGTTCGTTTGGATCCGTATAGAGCCTTACACTTTTAGGCACTTCGTATGTACTCTTGAAATGGTCGTAAATTTGATCGTTGGTCAAGAGAAGCTGTCCGCGTTCTTTCTTAAAAATGGTTTTCGAATACTCAAAAGGGTTTTTATCAAAATCTACTTCCTGTTTGGCCCGGTCAAAATTACCGCGATATTCTGCAGTTTGTGCCGATATTCCTTGAATTAATTTAAGGATTGATCTTAACGCCCTAGCTAGCTGATGACTAAGGTGGTTGTCGCCTAGAGCTTTGGCTATACGTAGATTTTTTATTAATTCCCGTTTTTTCTTCCTCATTTTTATCTTGAACGAATTTTCTTTATTTTTGCGAGCGTAATGATTACGTGGTGGATATTGCTCGTTGAAGTAGTCATAAACGGTATTTTGGAAAGTTTCTACCTGCGAGTTCAATTCCTGCTTCGAGCCCGGATGCTCTAACAGGACCGCTAAATTGTCGTCGTGAACTTTCCAAGTCGATTGTTTCATGTTAGGAATGCTAAGACGTGTCCGGATGTTAATGGACTCCTGGTGGTTTCCAGTTAATGGTTCACCATGGGATACGTGAGGGTCAACTCTATCCGAAGTGATAATTGAAGAACTTACCAACGATTGTCGTGCTTCAACACCATTATGTGTTTTTAGGTGTTTAATGTACCAGGCTCGTCTCTTGTAATTTTTCCCGCACGTAGGGCATTTCAAGTCCGTATTCGCGCCGTTTTCGCCGTTTAAATCGACCGGTGGACAGATCTTCCGCCCCCCCTCTCGGACTGTCCCAGGGGTATTTTTCTTTTTAGGACTTTTCAACATTTGTCAAAAAGTAACGTTTTTTAGCTTAAGAACAAATAGGCATTTTTTTTATGAAATAAAGAATCGTTGTCTACAATTGACATATTGAATTTCAGAGAACATACAAAAATAAATATGTTAAAAATCTCCAAAATATTCCATTGAATACTTCTAGAATATCTCGATTTTTAAATATTCAATGATATTACCGAGAATGAAATGGGTGTCGTCGCACTAACTTGAAAATTAAATATTTCATCAATCTCAGCGTTACACTTCATAAATAATTTAAGCTGAAATCAAAATGAACATTATCTAATTCGAAGGAAACTTATTACGGGCCGTAAACTCGGCGTAACGACTCATTATGACTACCAAAACTCCACGAGTACCTGAATAGGGCTGTCAAAACCAGGAAAAAATTCACATATATTGAGTATATATTTTATACATACATTTTTATATAAAAGTATGTAATTGATTACGTAATTTGCACCCTTTATTTAAACTATGACACTCATATTTGATTTTGTGCATTAAAATCATTTTAAACACAATAAACCAAAAAAACATCAATAATAAAAATTAAGTCACAAAAACGTATTAATTTCCTTGTAGGATATTATATGGTAAGTGTCATCCTTAGCCTTTGAGGACCTCCTGGACAAAGTTTGATAAAACTGTCGGAACTCTTTGCTTTGTTCCTTTACCAAATTGCGTGCAAAACAAACTTTCAGATAAATGTTGAATTGTGTTAATGTTAGCGGTAAATGCGTACGTTTTCATAAAGTTCTTAAATGTGTATTTTGAAATCTTTAACTTTGACTATTGTCAGATACGAAGAAACGAATGGATTTCTTTTCAATTCAAATCAAAATTGATAGCATAACTAACTTCGATTCTTAAATGTCGTTAAAAACTATGAACTAATATTTTATAATGTTATAGTATTAGGTATTTAACGCTGGTAAATAGTTTCAGACTTACAGCATAAATTAATCAATATAACAAGAGAATCGACTATAATAAAAGAAAATGTCTTAAGACAAGACGAAACCTCTCAGCGTTCCATGGAATCACCGTGCGGGTGCGGGATCAATCGTGTTGCAGGTAGAGGAGCTTCAAGAGTGCTTTGGACTTGCGATCCAGGTGTAGGTTTAAGGGATTCCTATCTAACGCGCGTTAAACGCTCACTTCCACCGTCCAAGCTCCTCTCTCTACCTAACCAAATTTGAAAAGAACTTACTAGGACTGCTTTCGAACTACGTTCCAAGAATGAATAAATGTTAGTTCTGGACAGGCCCAAGTCTTTTAGTAGGTTGTAGAGAGATTTAGCTGTTATACCTCTCGCTCCCACTTATACCGAGTACAAATCCACGACGAACCTATTTCTTAATGTTTTACCTAGATTTAAATTACAACAAAAATTCAAAACACTTAATAGTTTCCTTATAAAAAGAAGTTACATAATCTAGACTGGTATTAAAACTATGAATATGAGATTTTTATTAAGATGAAAAAATATGCAAAAATTTATTTTATACATCTCATCGCTTTGATCATTTTGCATTTAATTATAACTTTCTGTATCTTCTATCTTATATAGGTAAAGTTGGAATATGTAATAAATATGAAAATAAATAATACATAATTTAATGGAAATTTTAGTATAAAGTCCAAGTTATCGATTATTATTATCTCTGTGGCAATATTCTTAGAAAAATTTAATACAATTTTATATTTAATTAAAATGCCGTACTAAATTGCATAGCAATCTCGCATCTGTTCGTAAATCTTAACTATGAGAAATATTTTATTTCATTAGATCTTTAGGAAAATAATTTGCCATAGTTTATATAAACATTACCTGGATTTTATCAAAAAAATATAAACTAATGATATTTGTTTTAAGTTATTCTCATCTCACAACATACAGAGCGTGAATATTTAGCATAAATATTATGAAATCTAAGACTTTCTCGAATTTTATTCATTTAAATCAATGGTTCCCAACCAGTGGTCCGTGGACTACCAATGGTCCGCAGAAGCCAGAATATGGTCCGCGAATGATTTTAAATTTAGCGGGCGGTGAGTCTTGAGTAGTTTTGGTGTAAAGAAGCAATTTCTTATGTTAAACTTCGAGAAATGGCCTTGCGCTATTTTATGATTTTTTCGACAACTTATTTATGTGAACAAGGATTTTCTGCTTTATTGGTAATTAAAAACGAAGCGAGGAATCGTTTGAAAGTAAGTGATGATTTGCGTGTAGTTTTGAGTAACAATATTAGTCCTAGGAAATCCGAACTCGTAAAGAAAATGCAAGCTCAGAAATCACATTAATACAAAATTGCACAAGTTTATCCTAAATATATTATTATTTCTTGTTTTGTAATATCCTATTGATTTGTTAATTAAAGTTTCAGTTTGATTATTACAGTTTATTTGATTATACTTACATAGTGGTCCCTTCTTCTTCTACCTGACAATTTTCCCAGCTATAGCCAGGGTCTGCCTTACATGTTGTGAATGGTTTTGGCTATTTGTTTACTTCCATAGTGGTCCCTGCTAACAAGAATAATATAAAAGTGGTCCGGAACTAAAAAAAGGTTGGGAACCCCTGATTTAAATGAAACTAGAATTTTTCGATTATACTACGGGACTTTATTTTTTCAAATACTACATACTCCCGATGTTTCGACTACTTTTCATAAACCGTGATCACTGGCAGACGACATGTGAATGTCTGTCAGTTGGTCTTGTTATTTATCATCTACCACCATCGATTGTTCGATTCATGAATATTGTCACATTATAGTATTAATGTAGGTTATTGGAGGAGAAACGGGTAACGTTTTGTGTCTACTGTGACAATGCGAACTCATGATAAGGTTGCAGATATTAATTTAGCTTCACATGGAAAATAATATACGTGATACATCAATATTTATTGTTACCCTACTATTTAATAAACTTTTATTTCTAAGTCTTGGAAAACATTATGTATTAAGAAAATTACTTGTAAGTCGATAACTAAGTCTGGTCTTCAATAAATATTAATAAGTTAGCAATTCAACTCTAGCTCAAGTTAACCAATTATAACTTTATTGACTTCCCCAAGCTATGAGTATCCTTTGAAAGAAACACATTGAAACTTTTTTCACAGTTCGTATTAAGGCGGATGACTTTTCTTCATCCAGAAACCATTGAAATAATATTTACCTAATTAAAAACAATTCGAATTATTCATACAGTTTAGCGGGAATTATATTTCCTAGTATTGTACCTAAATAAGTCCTTATTTTTTATAATTCCTATTTCAAAGAATCAAACAAATGAAAAACAATAAACAGAAGGGACTAATAATTGCTAAACAAAAGATCCTACAACAGTTTTATAACCCATTGCACAAAACAATTGTATAAAAAACAATGGTAATTAATACAACAAAGGAATAGAATTAGAAGACATAATCCCGTCAGCTGAAGTTGTAAAACAAATATTTGACAAAGTATTATGTACCTGTTAATTATATCCTTTATGATAACATTATCTTTTCAACTACCTGGAAATATATATTACTAAGGAAGATATTAAGGATTATATTCCATAGCCGTCATTGAGTTCAAGTATTGAGGACTATATTTCATAAAAATTATATATTTTAGAGTTCTAAGATTTTCGGGGCTACTCATTTAAATGAAACTAATATGTTGGCATTTACTACGCGATTTTTTATTTTTGACTATAAATTGCATACTCCTTTATCCCATAAATTAGTTGCTACAAAGTAACCGTGATCATCAACTAAATAAATTGTAAATCCGAAAATATTAGTTTCATTACATATACAGGGTGACTGGTGAATTACTATCAATATTTAAGGAGCATACTCGGTACATGATTCTCATTCGAATTATGTAAAAAAATAGGTACTTAATTTTTGACCTAATTTCCGTATAAATAAATAAAGGGTGGACACGTTCCAAGTGTTCCAAGTGTGGACGCGTGCGGCGGCGTGCTGATACAACACCACGCCGCAGACGCGCGCGTGTGTGTGTGTGTGTGTGTGTGTGTGTGTGTGTGTGTGTGTGTGTGTGTGTGTGTGTGTGTGTGTGTGTGTGTGTATACCTAATCTGTAGGGTGTTCATACAATGCGTAATTAATTACATAACTTTTGGTTAACTTTACTTAGAAGTTTATTAATATTTATGTTATATTAATTTTTATTTTGTCATATATGATCGTCAAATATCACGTCCTCAAGTATCGATAGTATGTAATTCACCAGTCACCCTGTATATTTTGTAACTTGATTTTTTTTTGTTCTATACGTGGTCGATACTACACTTATATTTTTGCTATAAAACTATGTAAAAAATGTTAATTCGTGTGATAAAATTAAAAAGTGATTTCGTAGATTATGTAATATTGCCTAATCGTCTGTGCTATTTTAACGCCTAACGACTGCATTAACACCTCCGCCATGTAAAAGCGATAGCGCAATTAATATCGCATTAAGAGCGCTATGTTTTAATATAATTGTAGAAAAATTCTGGAACAAATTTCTTTCGATTTCTTATTATTTACAGTATTTGCTTCTTTAATTTTTATATTAAGAAAGTTCTAGATCACGGAAGAAGAGAGGCGGTGGAAAAGACCTACAAGGTACCCAAAGGTTTAAGATACTGCAACATTATTATATTTTAATACATATTTATTGTATACTTTGAATAAATGTAAGTCATTTTAATATGCCGAAAATATATGAAGATATTCTGGGACATTCTAAAAAGCATTAAAATAAATTACAATAACATAACTTTATACTAGTTTCATATTGTTCATTTCAAGGTTTTATAGATGATGAAAGACATCTTCTTTTTTATATTTATACAGATCCGGTATACATCAACCGCTTTCTTTATCTCAATAAAAAACCTATTTTTAATCATTCTGTTCTTTACTTATATACCGATACATTAATTACAATTTAAATAGAAATAATACAATAACTTTAGAAAGTAGAACGGTGATATTAAGCATCCATCATTTGTAATTCGTACTTGACTTTGAATCTTTGAAATTTATTGTTGAACCAACTATGATAAATGCTGAAGCCCCAAAAAAGTTCCCTTCTCTTTGTCTCAGTATCTTCGTCTGAGGTTTGCTTTGTTCTTTAAATAATAATTCCTTTAAAGTTAATAAAACAGTACTAAGAAATAACTTACTTTATAATTCTGAAACGATTCTGAAAAGTAATAATAAATATATCATAAGTTTACGTATGTAATACAAATGAAAAATTCATAAATTTGTTAAATTATCTCGCGGCAGTTAGTGATACTTTTAATTACAAAGAGGAAAGAAATTAACCGTTAAAAAGATACTTTTACAGCTTCCTTGTCATTAATTTATGTGGGCTCGTAATTTCTATTAATATTTGAATCCTGATATACTGAAGTGAAAACAATATGTGATCCTTCAAATAACAAGAAGTCCGGAACTTATATTAGAATGTGCATAAACGGATTATGTATTTCAAGATTAAATATTTATAATTTTACTTGAGAAGTCGTGCGAAAATACCCCTTTCATAACTTAAAAAATTCATTGGTTTGTTAATGCGGTTGAATAAAATTAAGCATACAAAACATGACATCTGTATTATAAATTTAAAACATACATACTTTTTTCCCAAATAATGTTTAATAATTTAAAAACATTTTTGAACCACTCGACACCCTTTTAGATACAACGAAATAGACAGAACATTTATGACAATGAATAATAGTATTTTTTAAAAATTAAAATTTATTGAAAAAGAAATAAAACTCTTTTTAATATTTTAGATTTAAATATTTTAATTCATAGTCGGTTTTTTCTTTGACATTAATGATTGAATGCTAAGATCAAGCCATCTTATAACTAATTGAATTTAATTTATAATTAAAGATAATTTAAGAGTCCAGAGGTACATTGTACTTGTTGGTATTAGAGCCAACGGTGAATTTTCTCCCACAATCTATAAATAAACTGCCCTTACCAGTTCCGTAGGTTGGCTGGAACGCAGGTAGACGGGTCTGACTCATAGGATTAGTGACGAAACATATAAAAACAACCTTATTGAACGGTAATAAGTTCGTTATTTCCTTAACAACTTAAATGGTATGTACTAAGATGGGAATCGTCAAAGGAATGAATTAGTTTTGCCAATTTATTGTTCCCACTCTTCAGTCAGTGTTCGACATACGACGAGACAAGTGGTGCATTGTATTTTATTTGTTTGAGTGTCACGTGGTGGTATTGAAATCAGGTAATTTTATTATTGTCCCTATTTTATAAATAGGCAGTTGCAACTATATAAATAAAAAATATTTATATATAATATTATGATATATAAGTATGTATATATAATATATATAATAAGTATGGTATTTTAATAACGTAATTTGTTGTAAGTTTTAATTTTTAGTATTTTGTTTGAAACATCAATAATTTATAGTTCATTTGTACACATTCATTTTAATATTTTCTTTAATTAGTTACATATTTAAGTCAAATAAAATAGAATACATTATTTTTAATAATAAATTACTATTCATAAAATTAAAGCGTCTTAAAAATTTCGACAAGATCAACGAGATCCATAAACAGCTGCTGTACCTCGACCTTATAATTTTTTTGTGAATCTCACAACAAAATAAACGATGGACAGAGATTAAAAAAGATGCTTGAATTGTCGCTCTCAGGTTTTTTTTTATCGTATCGACCTCGTACTTCACAATGGAGGATATGAAACAAAAATATCAGCTGTTTTGTTTGGCAAAAGGTCATTTTGTACCGAGAACAATACACTATTATTATACCGATGAGACCAGCATCGTTAGATCGATATAAACATTCGAGGCATCCGTGGAATTCCATATGAATAAAACTGGATTGTAACAATATCATAGTTATTACAATTTTTTATATTCATAATATATGCTATAATGGTTCAGTCTTTTTGAAGACGTTTATATTTCTTTCTCAAATTCTTAAAATGTGTGCTTTTATATATTTCAAATTTTTTAGGGAATTTTTATTGTTTGCGAACAGATAAAATTATTTCGGCATTTCCGAAACAAGCTCATTACTTGTTCTCGCAGCCGTAACTTACCATTGTTTAAATTGCATGAAATTTACCAGAAATAATTTGCTAATTGATCTTGTTAACAAGTCAACCTGTTTAAATACATTAAACTTGATATTTAAATTGGCATATTGTATGAATTCACAAAATAAGCTTCGCGTTTGTTACCATTGCCACAAATAAACTTATTTATATAAATTTTGTTTTTGTTTCAGAACCAGAGGACTGAAATATGCCTAATACTGTTATAGAAGATACGTCACAACCAACAACATTACAAGAGGCTATTAATACAATAAAATTTCTGAAATCTTCACATAAACAGGAAATCGCAAAAATGAAAGAAGCCCATATGAAACAAGCAGAAATAATTAAAAAGTTGGAAATTAATAGAAAAAAGGAACTGGAATTTCTTTCGAATGAACTTCAAAAATATGAACTGAATTTGGCCTTAAGAACGGAAGCTGTTAAAAAGCAATTAGCACAAAAAGATGAAATCATACAAAAGCAAGTCGAAATAATAGAAGATCTCACTAAGAAAATTAAAGATAAAGAAGATTTTGTCATTCCAGATATAACGATAAGCGTCGAGTCGAATTCTGACTCCGGTGTTGCTATGGAAAACGATGAAAGTTTAGATAAATCAGAGAAAATCAAAGTGGAAGCAAAACCAACCCGAAAATGCAGTAGACGTTTTGCAGACCCAATTAGTTTTCTACGAAGGGTAGATTTTTCTCCCATGAAATATAAACCTAGCAATCTAGAAAACAAAAAGAAGGATGATAAAAAGAAGAATCTGGATGTTCCTATAGATTCAAGAGTTTTTGTGAGACAATTAAGTAACGAGAAAGTTAATAGTGATGATGACAGACCATCGGAAGACACGATGTTTTCAGATGAAGTTGTTGAACCACTGATACTACGACCTAAGAAAATAAATGACAGCATGAATAACCATTTCTCTGATGATGGAAGTGAAGACACCAGCGAAGAAATATTTGACAGAGTCATGACCAGAAGCAGCATCCGAAGATCTGTAAAGGCGAATCCTAAATATAAAAAAATAAGTAGAACTAAATCTAAACTCTTGGAACAAGTTAAGGTTAACATTGTTGATTAGGAATGTATTTTATATTAAAGAACTGATAGTGTACGTTTATTTATTGTAAAAACACAAATGTAATTGCAAATTACAGAACTATGTTATTAAATGGATTTTTGTTTCATCCTTGACCCCACTATTTATTATAAAATTTTTATTAGTTGAAAATAAATTTCAAATATTTTTTTGAAATATTTTACTTGATTTTTATTTTAATATAGTAAACTACGTTTCTACTTCCGGTATTGATAAACAAATACCTTTTTACGATTCATGGATGTATAGCAACGCTTCATTAATTAATTATAGACGATGCTAGTTAACATTAAACATTTATTTTTTATTTGATATAAAACAACTTATCTTGTTTTCAACTTAGATGTGGTAAATATATTATTTTAATGTTAAGAAAAAGTGGCAAAAATATAAATTACTATTTGAACTTTCTGTTACTTATTAATAGAGGATACAAAATGCTGAGTCAAAATACATCGTATTAAGTGAGACAAGTTTTAATGAAACCGGATAACTTTATAGAGACAAAACTGTAGCGTACATTCTAAAAAGGTGTTGGAAAGTACTAAAAAGTTTTAAGTGCTCAAGTTTTATAGCTGAGAAACAAGACTTTTCAAAAAACATAACAACGAAATATTGTAAAATATCTCCTGTAATATTTTAAAGCTTAAAGTTATTACGAAATGTTCTTATTTTGTATTAAATTTGCATGAAGATAATGCAAATTTTTTTAATGCTTCCTATGCATTGCATTTATTAAAAAAAAAAAAACGTTATAACATAGTGTCATTAATAGATTTTTAGGTATTTATTTGAAACTTCAGAGTTAAAAGTAATTGAATTATTTGTAAAACTTACAAAAAACAAAGTCACTTGGGCATGTTGTTTTCATATTTTGAATATAATCCCTAAAAGCACCGAGATACCGAAGGTGTCGTAAAAGAACCGTTTGATATGAAAATATAAAAGTTTTATGGTTATGCCTCAATCCCTTGCTGAAAATTATCGAGTCTCATTCAAATTGTCTGAACTTTCCTTATAAACATTTTATAGCTAGATAAAAGTTCTTACAAATAAAGCTTACATTAAACATGCGCATACATTTTTTAACGTATTTCAGCCGGATTACTACATGAATATCAGATTGATAGAGAAATATCAAAACAAAAATGATTACTAATCGACTCATTTCAATATAACCAATCCCGCTAAGTACAATTCGGTAGTAATTTGTCCAATTATCTTGAACTGTAGCTTCAGGAAACACGTTCGGCTTCCAACTTGGCAATTCAATTAACAAGTTTGTACAGGATTGTACATCTGTTTCCAAAGTTGTGAAGAGCCAGATACAAGAAACCTTCCAGGTAAGTATATTGTTATTGCATTAAGGAAGTAGTTACTAGGATAATATTGATTTAATAACGTTAATTGGAATATACGGCTCAAGATGTACTTATAGTTATTTAAACCATTGCTGCTTCACAAGGTCACATTATCTCTATACACTTTTAGGTGGTTGAGGATCTGAAAGTACTAAAAAAAAGAGGTTGTAAATAAGACGTCTCAAGTTTAAAATTATTTCAGTTTCTGCCAAACAGGTTTTACGGCTCGAAACGAACAAACAATACTTCCGAACAATACGACTTGAGACATGATTTCCTTCGCACATCTGCATCCCAAGCCAATGGTCCACAAAATGCAGGACTACTGAATTTACGAACATAGTACTGCCAAAGTTTCCAACTGTCAAAACAAATTTCACATAAAACTTGTTATTCAATACATCAGATTTTGAACCTAAAATTTGTAGGTTAAAGTCTCGTTTTGATTAACTAGTGCATAATACACTCGATATAGTTATTGGAGTAATGTCTAAAGTACAAAGTGAAGTAAAATGGTTTGGACAAGCGAACAACTAGATGCAGTGGACATCTTATGTTCTTAACATTTTATAGTATCTATCGTTTCCTTATTTTTTTAACTTTTGGTTATTAATAATTGAAAATATACTGATCTATATAAATAAATTTATGTAATAGGACTCTTTCATAATAATAAATTAGCAAATGGTCTGTATTACTTTAATAAAAATTGTTTACACGAAAGAATGAAAATATAGGAAAACATTTTGCTGATGAATAATTTTCTCCATACTTTTTGTTGTTTATCAAAAAAGATCTTATCAAGAAACGAATAAAAGAAAGAATGTTCATATTAAAATACACAAAGAGGGCCAATAATAAATTTTCCACATCAAATATTTGAGTGCGAATACAATTACAGTTTAAATTCGCAAATGGAAAGCATAGCTTTAAATTAAATTTTCAAGCGCGTTACTTTCGAGAAGATAATAAATTCAGAAACAAATTGTTGCTATCTTCGTGAATGGCGTTAAGTATTTGTTTATATTACAGGTACAAAGATATAAAAATATTGAATAGCAAAAATAATCGCAGGGAAAAAAATCCGTGACCATAAAAGATAAAAAAAGATTAGAGAGGAACGAAACAAAGGATATATGTTTCGATTGCTTTATCTAATCTGTCTTGTTTGGTGTGATTTTTCTTTTGTAAATATTTAATATTCAACTTAATATAACCACCATGAAGATACATGAAGACATAGAATTCAAATCCACTAGATTAAGAATAAAATTTTGCACAGTTTTTGACTGTTAATCTACAATTTTCAGAACCGTGTCATAGATGACAAATTAACGTAAAGATAAAAAATAGCACCAGGCGCATATACACAGAATGAAAATAAAACTGTACGTGTTTGTTTTCGATATAAATCAGATTCTTCATATTAATTTTTATTCGATACTTTTTTAAACATGTGTTAAAGTCTTGAAAGACATATCCAGATAACATCTTGTTATATTTATCTGAGCTGTGTTTCCTGTTCCAGGAACATAAAGAAATGAGATCCATCAAAATATATTAGATAAACGACAGGTTATCTATTACGTTGTAAAAAAATTGTTTACCTTTACAATATTTAGGACATAGACAAGTGAAGTGACACACTAATCATTATGAAACACACTTTTTACCTGAATCCAATGTCATTTCTATAACAATTACCTGTTATACTAACACAATATGACTATCACAATAGTCACGAATGAAATTTCTATTTTATAACACGTGTTAATTGTTGTATGAGCTTGTTTTGCGTTATAAATTATAACAACGTTCCAAAGTAGGTGTTCAAATTGCATAATAGTGTATCCATATAAAAAGTTTTATTCTTTAAAATATTTCCTATCCCTAAAAAAGAAGCTTCAGTAAATAGTCATTGTAAATATACGCTATTCATTCCTGTTTGGTGTTGACTGAAATTGCTATCGTGATTTTTTTTTTATTGCAACAAAATTAAATACTATCTACGCATTTCTTGTATAACGAAACTTTTGTTGTAGATTCATGCTTTTTGTTACAGTGAAAATTAAAAATATGTATATCGAGTTTCAGGCACTTTTTTACACCTATCAAACTATGTATATTATTATACAAAAGACATTTTGAAACATTACATTACAAGAAAGTCTTTCGTCATTTGTCATAATAGATCGATCATAATTCGTCTCCGTAAAACTATTTTCATTTTGCTATTTTTTCTTTTTCTACTTTTGCTAAATTATTCTTTTCTATAAAACGACAATAAGTTAAATTTTAACTAATGTATAATACACTCGCATATGTAAAAATCCTTCCAACGAAAACCAGTACTGTGAATTTATAAAAGGAAACAAAAATCTGTTAACTTTCGAAATATAATAATTGGTGTCTAATTTACGATCATCATGTTATTATTTGTCCTTTAATACGTTTTGATAATGTTCCACAATTATAAAGGCACAAATTTTACAAAGAAATCTAATAACAGAAGAAATTAATATTTGTTTTAATATGTACTAATTTATTAACGACGAAGTTAAAATGGAATATGCATAAAACAATGAGGAGTATAGTATTACTTAAATACATATATCAACAGCTCGCCAAGGCCTATAAAATATATGCCGTAACATAATTTTGTAAAATACTTTAAATTATTTACAAATTTACTTTCATCAAGCGCTGACACAAAAAGGCGTACATATAGAATTTTTCACCTTTTATATGTATCCTTAAGAGTTCTTTACAAATTTAAAAAATGGAACAGGAATTCTTTAAAGTGGCTACTACATGTGAAGAGTACTCGGAGCTCTTGCAAGCAATGACCAAGCTTTTACGCTCAGGAGCTGTGGTTTCAGAAACATTAATGCAATCCTTTAAATATTTTTGAAAATAAAATATATTTTTAAATTTATATAATTATTTAATAACAACTATTATTAGTTATGCTGTTCTTTATTCGTAAAATTTTTGAATTGTGGTTAAGTGTAGTAAAAATGTTAGATAAAATCCTGTAATTTTGGTATATTTAAACTTCAATTTAGATGTTATGGAAGAAGAATTTCCCTATAGCATATAGAAGCTCGCAGAGTCATTAACCATACCAATAGAAACGTATGATTTGTTTTAATTCAAAATTCCTACTAGGAGGAGTTTTCAAAAAAATATGAACACGAGCAATGAAACAGAAGTTGAAAGTTTGTATGGAAATTCTTTTAAGAAAGTTACGATTTTCATAAAACTTCTAACTCCTACTTTCAAAAACATTTCATTGAATACTTTTCACAGTTTATTGGAATTCACCTTCTTTTACTTCGGATTTAGGATTTCTTCGAATTCAAAATAAGCATTGAAAGTTTGTATGAATTTTTTTAAATCATCGACAGTTTTGATAAAATTCAATACGAGTATCATAGTCTATTTTAAATCACATTAATGGGTTCTAAGAGTAATCTGCTTCAAATACTATGAAATGCATTATTAGAATTTAGAACTTCTAAATATAACGGGTCAAGTGTTTTTTGGTTGTTTGAAAATATGCCCCGAGCTAGTTTAATAAGAAATCATAGTTTACATGGGATAATTATAATTTAAAAATTA